GTAGCTGGTCCCTGGGGCTCTTATAAACTGCAGAAATTTGGACAATGTTGTTGTTTCATTTTAATTGAATAGTTGTTAAGTCTATCAATGTCTTAATGGTGATGTGTTAGTGGACGATGTTGCGTCATACCAGAATTGCGGTGCCATCTGTTGTTGGTTTCCATTTAACAGAAGTGCGGTCAGTACGTACGATAAGCATAGAAGTTTGTTAGTGAGAGTTGGTTCTTTATTGACTTTGATCAGATCTCAGGCCTCTGCTCTTTTCTACAAAAACAGATTTTCAAGATATCGCCACATCAAAGAGCTAGGACAACTAGCCCCCACCATCCACCCTCGCCTAAGACCACCACCAAAAACTAGCCCCCTCCTGTGCGCCACGGAATCAATCAACATCTAATAAGATGGATAGGCTATGGCCTGGGATATTAAACGACGGTCGGTCATATAAGCAAATCAAAGCAAAGGAGAGACACTTCTTCCGAAATCTTCAACGTCTCAACACTTACGGCAATCAAGCCAATTACCAGACAAGAAGACTCCGGACCACCAAAGAAGACGATACAATATCGCCGCTCCACGGTGACCAAGCATCGTAAGGTCCAAAAACCGTTCCCGGAGACTGTAGACATACCAACGACCACAAAGAATAGTCCAGCTGCGAGCGGCCAAGTCGGAGGGACCAGAATATCAACAGGCAACTCGCTTACACCCACGGACAAGGATCTACAATAAACGATTGCCCGTCAGCATGAGGCATTGGACTGCCGATCGACCCCGTAAGACACGACCCTCCAGCGCGCCTGCTTAGGTCATGCTCTACCGGTCAAGTCCCACTAGCGAACGCCACTTGCTTAAGCGGGCCTGACGTGTAAGACTCGATCCCACCCCTGCATCATTATATAGGCTTATATATCATATTCCTGTTAATGTATGGGGCCTGAACCCTACTAACCAAATCATTGTATATATTTACATTCATTTACATAGAAATAAAGATATTAATTTAATCCACATCATAACTTGGAGTTAAAACTTCATTCACGATCGACTCGCGTATCACGTGTGCCGTATCAATTTTTATACAGTTATAATAATATAAACAAATATGTTCGTCTATATGAGGAGGTAAGAACTTGATCCATTCAAAAAAAAATACTAAACAAAAATATTAAAAATTATTCTAAAAAAAGATTAAAGACACCACACAAAATACTTATATACAATAATACGAATGTACAAACCGGTTAAAAAAGTTATTTTGGTTTTAATATTTTACGTAATTAAAAATAATCTTACGTTTAAACTGAATACGTACATAATACTAGACAAATATATAGTACCGAAGTAACATCTATGCACTAATACAAATAATTAACACCGCATCCACATTTACTTATATATTATATACCTATCAGTCCTACAATATTTACAATACATTACCATCAGAAATTTAACATATATTATGCATATTTCTAATATTATATACTATTTTAAATATATAGTAAGTTAATCAAACATTAAAGCGCGCGCAATTTGTGGCCATCTCGTTGGACTATGGTCCGTCAAAATACGAACTGATCCAATCGACTCCGAAATATAAAGAATACGTTGTCTACATGCACACCACAATAACGTAGTTTTTCGATAGGATTTTTTTTTTTACATATTATTATATTATATAATAACAATCAGGGACGATAAACTGGTCTCGCGAAGTTGGCCGAACGCAATATAACCTAACCGATACATAATATGCTTTTCTGAATGACTTGTGGATGACGATAATATGATGTATCTCTATGTACATACTCACCTACATATTATACGCAGAAGGAGGTTGTATATCATATATATTATATTATTACCTTTTTATGGTTCAAAATAATTGTCAGCTGGTTATTATCATGGCTACTATTTTTTTTTGTCCATTTAATGTATTTAATATAATAATATAAAGATCGGAATGCGCGTTACCCCGAAATTCAGGTAGGTATGTATACGACCCCATTTGTCAAAATTCGAATGTGTTGTATCGTTCATAATTCATATATGTATATATTATATATTTTACACCACACGACGAATAATATACAGGTAATATAACGATTGTGTATGTATATAAATACAATATAATATATAATATGTACCTTACAAAAATTCTTGAAAACTGTAACAAAACGTCGAAAAGAAACACGTTTTTGATATTATTATTGTGTTATTGTGCGATACACATAGTATAATATATATAATACATATAAAACCCATAATTCACGTATATTATTATTATTATTATTATTACGTGTTTATGTAGCACCGGCGACAATATTTATTTGACCACTGCACGACGTGTGTTCGTTTGCCATATTATACTCATGCTGGTAACAAGTATAATAACTCGCCCCTATGCGCAGGAGTGCAGGAGAATGATAATTATATACGAATGGCAGGTATAGCATAGGTAGTATACAAATATATTATATATACTTTTTAGATTTATGTGCTCTTGAAGGTGACCACCTCTTATATCGGAGCGAAGATCAGCGCCTAATATTGCATATCATATAACATTGCGAACCGAATCTCGTAGAATATAAACACAAACATTTTTGAATAACATAGGTACTTATTTTAAGGAGTGATTTTTAAGCGTATTCAAATACCATTTTTTTTATGTATTTATTACCCATATAATTGTGAAAACACCGAACTAATGTCTAATACAAAAAATATAATTACATATTTTGAGAAAAACGATACTGCTTGTATCGAGAACTCACAAAAATACACTCTTTTGTAACATTAGGTCATAGAAATGTATTCGTAATTTGGATTTTGTAAGATTTGATGAATTGTCATGAATGAATTATTTTTTTTTTATCTGATAGAAATAACTCAAAATGACTACCCAAAACATAAGTCAAAGATTCCAGGAGAAGAGATTAGTGAAATTATCTATTAACAGACAAGGCTTGGCAAGTTAACGATTTTTTTTTAACTCTTTAAGTTAAGTTATTTTAAAATAATAAGTTAAGTTAAGATAAAAGTTACTCGTATTTTTTTTCGTTAACTCATTAAGTTAAAAGCAAACTTTGAAAAAAAAGTAACTTAACTTAGTGTAAAATTAAAATTTGCCAATTTGTAAGAATAAAAAATTCCAGAAACATAATATGGTTTATTAGATAGTTTTTCTTTACGCTCGAGAAAATGACTGGGGAAATTTAAAATGATTCATCAAAGTAAAAACCCATTCAAACATTTGCATTATTCTTCGGACGAAAATTAACTTAATTTAAATACTTTAGAAATAAAATTAACTTGAAGTTAACACGTTAATCTTGAGAAAAAGTAACTTATTAAGTTAAAAGGTAATTTGAAAAAAAGTAACGAGTGAGTTAATTAACTTAATTAAAATTAACTTAACGTTTAACTTAATTTTAATTTTTAACTCGTTAATGCCCAGCCTTGATATTTGAGTGTATAATTTTTAGTCTATAAGAAAGTCAAATTAAATTTTTATGAGCGTTTGAAATTCAAATTTTTACAACATTTTATATTTACTCGATTTCTCATATATTTCCCAAAAATTTCGTGTAATTCCAACAAACTGGTTGAACGTTTAGGCAGTATAATAGATCGAGCATTATATAAATTGCTTTCAATTAATTTTACGCCTTGGGGAGTATTAAAGTTTCAATATTAGCATTTTGTTACTTGGAATGGACAATTTTAGGTGGCCTATTGATATTGTTAAGCTTCTTTAGGTTTATTTTTGGTTTCGATTTTTCTTTATTGTTATCACTAAATCTTTAGTATGCTGTAAGAGAATTAAAGTTTTCCGAGGAAGTTTTCAATAAATTAGAATTTATTTGATATTTTATGGTTTATTGTTAAATATTTTATTGAAATAATAACTGTATGTGTACAATATAGAATTGTACGTTATAAATATAAAATATAAACAACGAAACTATATAAACCATGTTCAGTATTTTATCACAATCAATAATTGTATATATATGTAATTAAGTGTAATAACATAAATATAAATTTAAAGACAGAAAAATAATCAATGTTAATATTTTGTGCAATATAAATGAATAATAATGTTGTTAGTATTTTATTCTAATATAATTTTTATTAATTATTATTTTCCCACTACCACTTAAGCTCCATAACTATTACAAAACAGCCATAAACTACCTATGTTGTTTTTGGTATAAAAACAACGAAATTTGTATGTTCACTAAAAAATCATCTCGGGAAAATCGACCGTGTACCCTGGAAACATAAATCAAACAGTTTCTATTTTAGATTGTACAGTTTGAATTTCGTAATAAGCACGCTTGAAATATGTACACTTGTATCTCTTTCCTGCTGTAAAAGGCGGTAAAAGATTCTATTGGTGGTCGGAAGGAGAATGATTTTATATATATAAGGCGACACCCAAAGTGTGTTAATTATTTGTCCATAGTTGGTACTTTGCAATGAGAGTAGAACACGTGAGATTGGATTGAAAATTAATAACAAGATCACGCACAGTAGGTATCTATCTCAGGTAAGGGAAAACGATCAATTTTGTAGTCAACATCTAATGTATTTGTTTTTTTTCGTTAATATGACATTTTAAAACATATGATTTAATCATTATATCTGAAGAGAGAGATAGGGTAGCTGATGGCGAATATCTCGAATTCGTAGTTTTGATTTAAACCACTGAAATTCAGTAAGAATGGTCTTAATGGGTCTTAAGGGGTATGTGCGGTTCGAGAGTATGACACCATTGACACATACTATCAATATTGTAGAAGAGAAGTTAAAATCTGTGGTTAAGTACTAAGTAGGTTTATCTATATAAGGTCGAGACATTGTAAACATATTATAGTAATATTCGAAAATAATAAAACGATAAAATAGTAGATGTAGAAAGCATCTAGTACCTACGTGATATGCCTAATAATATAGAAACATAATCTATTATACTTTTGTAATTTACCTAATGATTAATCATTTTCCCAAGGCCGCTTCACCTCTACAACAGAAATCGCACAGCCATAAACCACCTTGTTTTTGGTCAGTTGATAACGAAATTTGTAAGTTCCATAAAAAAATTGCTTGGGTAAATTGTTATAAAGTCCATTATCATGCTTGAAGCCAGATGTCACAAAAAAACCCTAAAAATATAAATCATATTTTTCATCTTTACATTACAAATCATATACAAAATATTATTTTGGAAAATAATAAGTAATTGGAATCATTAATACCAATATGAACGTAAAACTAAAGAAAAAAAGTTTAGGTGCTGGTGTACTGTGTACATTAGCTGTTGTGTGGGTCACGTGATATTTGTCACATACTATAACACCATTGTACCTACATGCAAGACGGTATAACAGCATATTATATTATGTACTAAGTAGTAGGCATAATTGAATATGTTATTGCTATAAAAGTAATTTATTTAACTATTAAATTTTAGGAATAAACTACGTTGAATTAAATTTTGACAAAAGGGTTGCATCTTTAAATATAATTGTTTGTATAAAAAATAATAATAATTTAAGTAGGAACCTAGTTAAATGTTCAATCCTTAACTGTAATAATTGAGTAGTTTATTCATTTTTAAATGCACAAAATTTTCAAACTTGCGAGTTTTTGATGAATTTTCTGAAATTTTGAACTTCAGACAGTTATAAAAACTAATTGTGAATTTTAAGGTCTACATTTTCTTTAAAGAACATGAACAAAAACTAGATTAATCAAATCTTGTCTATGTCACTTTAATATTTTTTAACTGCTAAACTTGAAAACTTATGATTAAACATATAGTACAATTCCAAATCTTAAATATAAAAATGACCAATTTTATAAATTTCCAACTCAAACATATTTACACAAACTTGTTACTTTGAAAAATTTTGTCAAAATTCAAAATTCTAACAGTTATAGGTTTAACCAGAAAATGTAAGCTCAATTTTCTTTTTAAATCACATAAATAAAAACTCATAACTATTATTATGTTAATTTTTTATGTTTTTTGACAATGTAAAATATAATTTATTCACAATAAATTTAAAAAACTAAAAACGTCTAATAGCTATATAAAGCAAAATAAAAGTCTATAGTTTGATTTTTAAGTAATTATCAGTAATTCAATAACAGCAGGTTAAGTAGCATAATTTAAAATTCCTATATGCTATTAAAATAATATTAAAAATGGTAAATGTTAGTATATGTACCTACACTGTTTTAAATAAAATTATGTAGGTTATAAATATTATAAATGTATACCTCTATAATATCAAGGGATTTGTTTGATAAGTTGTTAATATGAAAAACTATAAGAATGTCACGACATTTATCATAACAAAATATTTTCATGAAAATCTACATCACTAAGAGTGTTATACAATACCTAGGCATGTTCTAAAATCAAAATTCAGAATATATTAAATTGATATTGATATTATTTTTATTTATATTATAAAACTTTCATACCGCGGGAATAGGACAATCATTAACATTGCGCATTCCTAAAGTTTCCGTCGTTGAAACAAAATATTTTCCCGCCAACATTTTGAGTGCCGAGCAAGCTTTAGGTGTCTTGAAAATATGAGCATTATCCTTCCAACCTCCAACAGAATCTTTTACCGCCACATTGACCTCAATCTATAAAGAAAAAAATATTTTTGCCAAAATCAGATCAATACAATAAAATTCAGAAGTCGATATTTTTAGTAAATACTTATGTTTGAGAACTAGGTTAACAAAATGTCAAATTTATAACTGGTTCAACAATAATTCTATCTTATAATATATTACTATGAATGATTTATTAATTATAAATACATAACTTACTTCAAGAGAAATTTGACAATTTAATAATAATAATAACTATACTTACTGTAAAAGAATCATCAAGTGGTACTTCATAGGTTGAGTTTCCTCTTAATTCTGTGGTGTTGACAGATGTTTTGCTTAGGTAATAATTAAATCTAAATCGATAATTCGCCGATTCACATGATAACATTGCTAAGACATTTATTTTGTATTCACCCTGAAGAAAATTATAAAACCGTTTTAAGCTGTATCTTGTTAAGTGTACATAATTAGAGAGGCCATTCTTTTGGTGCAATGTGTAATTGACTGATTTGCCTAATTAAGAACTTACAACCGGTAATCGTGGTAGAAACAAAGGTCTATTTGTTGTATCCGAATTAACATCAATAACAAAAACAAGAAGATTGATTAGCAAACACTTCATTTTTGATTTAAAATATTCAATATTGTAACCACATAAGTATCAACGCAGTTTATTTTTCAACAGCTCTTCCGAGTCAAATCATATTTAGTCTAATGTTACTTTAGCTTTTAAACTTTATAAATAATATTTTGTACTTATATAATCATTATTGTTCATTGATTTTGCTTTCGGTATTGTTGCGGATTAGTATATATATTATTACCCATGACATTATATTACATTTTTTTTTTATGTTATGAATTGTATAGGCACCTATTGGTTACAATTCATTTAGTATAATAGATGGATCATTATGTAAATTGCTTTCATTTAATTTTATGCCTTTTGGAGTTGAAATACCAATATTCGCATTTTGTAACTCAGAATATATAGATCATTTTTTATTGCCTATAGTGATATAATTGACGGCTTTTATTTTATCAATATAGTTAATCGTTTTAATTCGATACCTTACCTTTTGTTTTCTAGTATCTAATAAACTAAAATCCGTCCAAAAGTCGAACTTTGTTGGTTTCGCTAGCTCAGCGTGGACGTATCTCAAGCATTATGTTCCTGAACAGTTTGAGACAAGGTTATATTGATTCTCCTGATTTGCTTATTCCTTAATTTATATTAGAGTTCCTCAACGTCATTCCCGAGCTGTTGCTTCTTTTTATGTTTCTTTCTCCTCCACTAGTTATCTTAAAAATAAACCTATTGGACGTATTATGTAAAATGCCAACGTCGACCCTTCGTGTCTTCTTATACATATAAATTACTATCTAGCTATTAATTTTAATATCATATTATAATTTATAAACTGTACAACTAAAGTGTATTTATGTACCTATATTGTGTATATATGTTTAAAGGGTGTTTGTCCTGTATATTAAATAAAAATAAAACAGAATTTATTTTATATTTTATATTTTATTGTTAAATATTATATAATAATAATAACTGTATGTGTATGTGTACAATATATAATTGTATGATATAAATATAAAATATAAATTACGAAACCATATAAGAATGACATTATTTGAATTTCGTAATAATCACGCCTGAAATATGTGCACTTGTATCTCTTTCCTGCGGTAAAAGGTGGTAAAAGAATCTATTTGCAGGTGGTTGGAAGGAGAATAATTTTATATATAGGACATACAAAGTGTGTTAATTATTTGTCCATAGTTGGTACTATGCTATTATATATTTGTCTACTATTATGTACGCATTCAGTTTAAAAGTAAGATTATTTTTTATTATGTAAACTTACGAAGCTTTATCAAATATTTTCTTTACTGGTTGTACCTACATTCGTCTAATTATATAAGTATCTTGTGTGTTATATATGTATCTTGTATGTTTTTTAGAATAATTTTTAATATTTTCTTTTTCAATGGATACATAATTATTTCATACCTTCTCATATAGACGTACAATGTACATATTTGTTTCTATCGTTTTAATTTAATAATTTAAATTTTTTTTTATTGAACTTAAGATCGTCAACTAATGACCATTAGCAGCTGTTTTAGGGGTTATGGACTGTGGTTGGGGTAAGGTTGGTACGGTAGGTTGTTTTTACGATTGTTTTTACGGTTGTTACGGTAGGTAACAAACACGTGTACCTATGTCTGGCAAGGTTCTTAAATACTATGAACCCGGATGGTCACCCATCCGGGAGCTAGTGGCTGTGGCCGTTACTGACTCCCAGTTGAATCCTCGACTGATAGCAGCCAACGCGCCACGCCAAGCCACTATAATTTTATTTTAAGAACATTAGGAGCGAATTCTGACAAAATAAATTATTATCATATATTTTATCATTATTAAACTTAATATTAAGCATGACCTTTATCCATTTACCTTGAAATTGGGTATCAATCATTGTATACCATGCTTGTATCTTGTATTAGGAAAAAAAAGGTAAGTACTTCAGATTCGTGAATATTATTAGGAATTAATTATCATCAAATGAAATCATACATTATAATTAACATTATATAATATAATATAATATCAGTGTGATGTTACGTGTTATGATATAAGTATCTACTGCAACAATAGGGAAAACAAGGTCAATAAATAATGATAATATGCATACTGCAGAAGCAAAATATAGTTTTTGGTCTCCAAAAATCATTTGACTCTGAATGACAGTAGAACAATAAAAAGGTCGGGGGGGGGGGGGCAATTGTATGGTATTTTATATGGTAAATTAGATTATCATTTATTTTGTATTGTATTTTATTATTTCTAAACATATTGTTTAAAAAAAAAAAAATATTTTATATAAGTCATTTTAAATTTACTATTTTATTTGACCATTAAAAAAAATATTATTCCTAATATATTTTGTACAATAAATGAAATGTTTTGCCCCCGAGAAAATGGCTGCCATCCACAGCATGAGTTTCACTTGATAACAATGTAAATTATATAGGAGTACCTTATCTAGTTAGTATAGACAATCTGTGTAATTAATCCTAATCTAATATAATATGTTATCAGTATGATATTACATGCTATGATTTTTAGGTATCTACTGCAACAATAGGGAAAACAAGGCCATTGGACAATGAATAATAATAATATAGGTAGGTACATGCTAATTAAACTGACTAAAAAATATTATAATATGTACATACTTATGGACCAAACATCATTTGACTCCAAATGACAGTAAAACAATTAACTGCGTTGATACTATACATGGTTTTAAAATTTTAGACTAAAGATGAAGTGTTTGTGAATCAATCTTATTATTTTTGTAATTGTTGTTCATTCAAATACGAGAAAACCTTTGTTTTTACCGGTTGTAAGTAAGTCTTACTAATTATAATATAATCACTACATCAACCATCACATTGTAACAAACTAATGTTCTCTAATACTTAATAGGATACTGATTAAAACGGTTCTATAGTTTTCTCCATGGTGAATTTCGACTACATTTCTTAGGAATAATGAAATGTGTATCAATCACGTCGCTTAATAAAATACAATTTAATCTATACCTAAACAAAACGTCTGCAAACACTAGGGAAATCAAAGGAAACATAACCAATTTAATTCCAGTGGATGATTCACTAACTGTAAGTTTTGATATTATTTTGTTGAATTGTATATAATTATAGTAAAAATATTTAAAATTTAAAATTGTATATGGTTCATAAAAGTGATATGACAATTTATAATATGAGTACAAAATTCACCAACTTCTGAAATGTTCGAATTTTTACGTATTTTGCTAGTCAATCATATTTCGGTAAAAATTAATATATATTTTTTATTATAGATGGAATTCAATGTGGCGATAAAAGATTCTATTGGACATTGGTGGTTGGAAGGAGAATGCTTTTACATAAAGGACAACAAAAGCTTGCTCATCACCAAGGATAATAACCTAACCAAAGATACTATGGTTGCACGACTACCCATATTTGATCACAGCACCGAGCGGCGCCGAAGGTTCTTATAAATTCTGACAAAAAGTCGCGTTTTACTAGCGCCCCCTACAACCACTATACTAGGTTACGGTAACCAAATCTGGTTACCTAGCCACTGTGGAGCGCTAGTATGTAGCCACTTTTTTTTGTATGGATACTTTGTATGTATATAATAATTAATATGTAACTTGATAAGAACATTTGGCACCGTCATATTATTGCTCGTTGTGCAACCATGGTATCTATATCCGTGCTCATCACTCAAAATATTGTCGGAAAATTGTTGGAATGCAATAATGGGTGGTCTAGGAATACACACAAAAACTTTTCCTATCCCCGTGGTATGGAAGTGTCATATAAATAATAATAATATCATAAACATTGAAAATATATTCTAATTATTGATTTTATGGCACATGTATTGTTATACACTCGCTAAGATTAAAATATCAACATAGGTATTTTTGATTAAATTAATGAAGATAAAAATTCTTATCTTTTTATATTAAACCTGTTATTTCAGTTCAGTGTTAAACAGTGGTAAAAACTTTTAAAATATCTAATTTTTAATGATTTATTCATGTACTTATACAGTTATACATTATACAAATCACCATGGTTGAATAGAGCTGTGCTTGGGATAAAAACCAAAATATTTTTAGTTGATGTTAAGAGAGTCAATACCTATAGAGTCTTGATTTCTTGTACCAATAGGAAAGAGTCTTTAGAGATAGTACAATGAGTAATAAAGGCAACTCCTTTCAGAAATGTATACTAAATATTATTTAGCTCATTTGATCAATTAGAATAATTATTGGACCAAATTAAAGAGAAAAATTCTAGGTTTGATCTAACTACAGAAGTATATAATTTTTTTAAACATATAGGATTTTTAAAGTCCCTAGTATTTCTAGTAATAAAACTCAACATTTAGTATTGTATCACAAGCAACAATTGTATATATATATATTATATAATATATGTAATTAAGGGTTTAATAACATAAATATTAATTTGAAATGTTGTTACCTTCTGTTTTATTGTCTAATTATTAGTTTCCCATGGCCGCTTAAGCTCTATAACTAATGTAAAACAGCCATAGACTTCATTGTTTTTGGTAAATAAGAACGAAATTTGTATGTTCCGTAAAAGAAGACTTGAATTATGTTTTATTGTAAAATAAACTATAATAATTTTATGTGTACAATATATTATAATATTATTTTATAAATATAAAAATAAATAACAAAACGTAAAATAAATCGTGTTTAGTAATGTAACACAAGTAGAGATCGGAGATGGAAATTTGCATGGTACATTTTACCTGCAAGGTAATATTTACCGATAATTTTTTTACCCTGTAAATATTTTTACCGTTTTAAAATTCGAGTGACCACTCATTTCAATTGTTTTCATATGCACAACAACGCTATAGTGACATCCATATCTCAACAATGGTCAATGCATGATATAAATATAACTAGTAATATACCTACTAATATTTATATCATGCACATGAGATCTTCCAGCAAATGATTATTACTCAGGCAATTTTTAACACCATCATCTCTGATTAAATTAAACAAAATTGTTAGTCCAATATAACTAATAACTTTGGAGGTGCTACGCACCTTCTGGCCAGTGGCGTAATTTGTAGGTTTTTTTTTTGGTGGTTCCAGATCATAGAAGTATAAACTTATTTGTTAATTGGATGAAATATTTCTCTGTTTTACATCTACGACTACTAAGTTCATAATATACTCATCAAATATTGTAATGAAACATTTTTCATCATAGGTACTCACCAATGACAATAATATGATAATATTACTATTTCACTGTATATTTTATCTGCCTTGTTTCTTCGACGACGATTAAATGAAAAAGATTCAAATTCAATTGATAAATAATAATATGTTATAAAATAAATGAACATGGACATTTAAGATCCAACGTATTAATATATTAAAAAAAAACATCATTGTAATATATTAATATCTAAATATACACAAATTAAAGCTGGAAAAACAAGTAACACGGTCACATGAAGGCACGGAGCCACAGGATAAAATTATAAATTTAATGTATACTGTAATAGGATAATAATAACATAATATTATTTAAACATATTAATATACATTAGTAGGTACCTATATAGTTATCATCATTGGTCACAATAATTTAATAATTATTACTATATATTTTGTTTGTTACGCGCCAGTGGCGCTATAAGAATAACAGTTTTGTAAATAATTAAAAATAGAATGGGATAGTAAGTACATTATTTAAAACTAAATTTATTTTCTTTCCTAATTAGTTTAGGACTTTATATAATATTAAAATAGTTCATAACGAACCACATAGTTTGGTTTGTCAAATTCCCTTTAAAATTTATCAAAATTAGAGATTGAATTTTTTTTTTGGATTGGGGGGTGTCAAGACACCATAGACACCCCCCCCCCCCAAAAAAAAAAATGTGCTACAATGCATACTTACAATTTATATAAATATAATACTTGTAGTAAGGGGCGGACGAGTGGTACATTGGTTAAATGGTTGATCTTAGTTATAAAAATTTTATTGAGTTCGTATTAAATTTACTAAATAAAAATTATACGGTATTAAAAAATGTACGTACATTTACGTAAATTTACCGAAAAAAATTTACGGTAAAATTATATTTTAGTATTAATATTTACTATTTAGGTACTCAAAAACCAATAAAAACGAAAAATTTCAATAATGTTTAACGTGATGCAAATTATTTTTAAATAAACTGAGGAAAGCTAAGTTATTGCCACTGTCAATTAAACTAGTCAAGCTTATAAGTTGATTAGAAAATTAACTAACCAGTTAATGCACATCTTTGGAAATTTGTATTACGTATAACTACGAGTATACGCAGTGCAATATGCATAGATTTTAATTAACCTATCCGTACATATTATTATTATATTAATATGTTGATTATATTATTTGTCGATGGAGTAATATCCGTAGATAAAAATATATAAAAAAAATTAAACGGCCGTGTAAAATTGCAAATTATAAACTCTTCATAATTTGTCAATGGTTTTTATAGGTACCGTATAAGAACAAGGTAATATGTTATATGAGTATTATGTGGATGGTGTTTGTAGCATAGCTGGTAACCCCCCCCCCCTCCAATGAAACTTTTCCCCCTTAAATGTACTATTATTGTTACGTGAAAACTGTAAAAACTTGGTTTAATTTTTACTATATCCCCAACCCCCTGGACACTTGATGCGGTTATGTTTAGTGAACAGTGCACTATGTTTACTTGTTTTTAAATTACCTGAAATTTAATTGATTCTCCGGGGGCAAGTACCAGTTGCCCTCATATGTAAATATATATACGATTAAAATATATAGCCTGTAAAATAGGGGAGGTAAATATACAAATAATAATTATAAATAGTAATTATTATAACAAAAAATAGTACATAATATTATATCTAATTTATTTACTATTTTTTTTTTTTGACAAATTATCTCATTGAACATGGTGCTTTTCATTATAACTGTATTATTTATTATGCATTTTTTCTATCATTTTATATTATTTTTTTGATGAAAAAACTCTCCTATTTACCTCTCCTATTTTACGGGCTATATATTGTTATCGTGTACCTACATTCGGTTGGGGGCAACTAGTACATTTAGTTAGGGGCAACTGGTATATTTTTAAAATCCCGAGGACAGCCCCGTGGGGGGGGGGCAGGTCAACACCCTTTTCCGGGTTGGACCTTTTATTCAAAATTTTTCTTGACAAAATGTAGCCTATCTTCTTTCCCGAGGTCTAATCTATTGCTGTACTAAATATCATCTTACTCGGATGAATGGTTTAGGAATGTATAAAGGACACAGTTAGTCGCAAACATTTTTTTTTGTCTGTTATATGATATATAATATATAATATAATATGTATACATATACAAAATTGTACCAAAAAAAGTACATATTACTGTCAAGGTTAGATATTCAAGTGGCAGTGAGGGCGAAACGGAGCTATTTATATGTCATAAACAATAATGTGTGAGTGTTCACAAAATATCAATAGCATATAAAAACTAATTGAGTCGACGTTATGGGTAATATACCTAAATATAGTTAATCTACAGCATCAATACTAAAAGCAAGGTCAATAATATCATATTTTATATAATAATAATATACCTGGGATTATTAAAAGCAAGTGAAACCATCAAACCATCGAACTTTTAATCATTTAACTCTGAATAACAGCTGAACAACAAACTTCGTTGATGCGTGTATCGTGTATGCGTGTAATATTTTGGACCAAAAATGAAGTGTTTATTAATCAATCTTCTTGTTTTTGTAATTGCTGTTAATTCGGAAACAACGAGCAAACCTTTGTTTCTACCACAATTACCGGTTGTAAGTTCTTAATTAATCATATCTGTCAATAAGGCAACCATAACATTGTACCAAAACAATGTTCTCTAATTCCATATACGTAATGTGATACAGCTTAAAATGATTTTATTGTTTTCTTCAGGGTGAATACAAAATAAATGTCTTAGCATTGTTACGTTGTGGAGCATCGAATGACCGATTTCAATTTAATTATTACCTAAGCAAACTGTCTATCAATACCACAGAAATTAAAGGAAACGTAACCTATAATGAACCACTTGATGATTCTTATACTGTAAGTATAGTTAATTTTCTTTTGAAGTAAGTTTAGTTGTTACAATAAATTATTATTAAATCATTTATAGTAATATAAGATGGATTTATTGTTGAAAATATTATAAATTTGACATTTTATTTACATAGTTTTCAAAAATAAGTACCTACCTACCAAAAACATCGACTTCTTAAATAATTGTTGATTTTTATCGTATTATGCTGGTCGATCCGATTTTGGCAAAAATATTAAAATTGATTTCTTTATAGGTTGAGGCCAATTTGGCGGTAAAAGATTCTGTTGGAGGTTGGAAGGATAACGCTCATATTTTTAAGACACCTAAAGCTTGCTCGTCACTCA